AGCCACCCACTTAGGGCATTTCTGTTACAGCAGCACTAGAGAACTAAGACAATGAGTGTATTGTGTATAGGTGTCGGCACCACACTAAGTGGCAATAAGTTTTCACAACAACCCTTGGAGGGAGGTATTATTACTCCCCCTTTACAAAAGGAGAAAGTGAGGCTTGGATGGCAGGCTGGGGGTTCTCTCTTTGCCCACCCAGATGCATCCTCTACTCTGCTCAGTGCCCTTGAAGGCACTGAGATACATGTCTGGGCTCCCTCACCGTATGGCTTCCAGTTGGGTTTGGCCAATGGAAGGCTCTGGCAGCAACAGGAGGGCTGGAGAGAGGTGGGGTGTTTCTTTCCCACTCCCTTCTTGCTTCACCTCAGCATCTGTGGCAGTACCTCTTCTTGCACAACTCCAGCTTCTGTGGCTTTGCAACCGCAGAGGTCAGTAACACTATTCCTTCCCCATTCCTTCAGCCTAGGGGTGCTGGGTACCTCACCATGGTTCATTGGTTCCCTTCATTAGTCTCTTCGTGTGAACCATCTGGGGTCAATTCTGTTTCTAGCTAGGATTCTGACTAAGGCTGGGGTTAGTTAACTTTCTGGTTTCTGGTCTCATGAGGCTGATAAATGATAAAACCAGGCATTGGTGACTGTGGACGGAAAGAAAGGAGAGTCTGACTGAGCCTTGAGAAGGTTGGGCTGGAGGCTGAGGGCTGGGGGCTAGAGGCTGAGGGCAGGCCTTGGTTCCCAGCTCCCAGGCACTGGCTTCAATTAAGGCCAGGGATCAAACGAGGCTGGTAAATACAGCTCCTTTTCTCCTGCCCTATGGTTCAGGGAGTTGCCCAGTTCTTAAGCTCCCCTTCCTCGCCAATTAGCAGTTTTAGTTTTCTGAGCCTGGCTCCTGGTCTACAGTCCTCTAGGGGCAGAAGTAGAGGTCTGGTCTCTTTCTCAGGGAAGAGGTAGCCAAATGGGTGCTGGTGAAGAGAAGGGACCATCTGGGTCAGACAGATGCTGAGAGAGGAACAGATGGTCTCTGCCACCACCTCCCTTGGGAGTGGGCACCCTGTAGTCTCTGCAGGCTGGCTTGTTGAAGGGCTGGTGTGGATGAAGGGTATGGGGCTGACAGCCCTAGTGGGTGGGGCTAGAAGGCACCAAGGCAGATGGGGCTCTCTGGGACTCAGGTTTGGAGCTGCAGCAGTAAGACCTCCCTTGTATTGGAGTCTCTGGGTAGTGCAAAAGATTAACACGCTCAGCTGCTAAAGAGAAGGCTGGAGGTTCGAGGACACCCAGAGGCACCTTAGAAGAAAGGCCTGGCAGTCTAGTTTTGAAAAAATCTGCCACTGAGAATGCTACAGAGAACAGCTCTACTCTGACACATATGGGCTCACCGTGAGTCAGAGACAATTCCACGGCAACTGATACCGGAGCCTGAAGCTGACCTGAAGCCTCAGTCTGCTCATCCATCCATCCACCCACCTACCCTATGAGGGTCGAGCATCTACAAAGGGTAGGCATTATACCAGGTGCTAGAGATCCAACAAAGGAGTCAGGCCCCGGAAACAGACAAATAACAAGAATAACCACAGATTGTGATGAGTGTTAATAAAGAAACAAATTGCTGAAAATAAAGGTCTTTCTGAATCTAAGGATGGGCAAAAGCTGGCCATGGACAATGAGGGAAAGAATGTTCCAGACACATGTAAAGGCTGTGGTGTGAGGAACTTTTCAGAAACCTCGCTTCTCTCAGGCAGAGATGAGGCTTGCACTTGGCCTGTGGATGGAAAGAACCACTAGAGAGAGGTGCTAAGACACTCCCTCTGTCATGACCCCTTGCCTTCCCATTGCCCCCTGCCTCAATGGCTCTAGCGTGCAGGGACAGGGCAATGAGCTTGGTTCAGGCCCAGTTGGGACTGAAGTGATGGAATCAGGCAGCAAGAAAGGGCGCTGGGAGATGGATCCTCCAGTACTCTCTGAAAGGTGGAAAGAAAGTGTGGCCATGGATACGTCTTGGCAGCTGGAGAAGACTAGAGATGTGGTTCATTCTGTTAAGAGAGAATATTAAGACATTAACCTGATAAGGCTGCAGAGGCCTAACAGGCAGACCTCTGTTACAGTGATTTTGAAGGACTCAGAAGGGCAGAACACATCTATCTGTATTTGAGGCTGCTCTTATTCTCCTCCAGAATTCTGGCATTATCCCCTGAAGAAATAGTCTTGAATGGCCAGCCTTTCCTACGGTTTCTTCTGTGGCCCTCAACAACTGTGTTACATTTCTGCTACTTCATGCATCCCTCTGATGGGAACCCAAATCCTCCATCCTCCCCCTTCCCCCTGCCCCCACACACATACACATAGGTCAGGTGTAAGTCACCAAACATCTGAAAGGAACAATGTTGACAGAGAAGGAAGATATTCCAGAGCAGGGACAGAAGACAAGCACCAGGGACTTTCCTTCCGGTCACCCTTAGTGGGTCATTTGTCATGTAGGCATTTGGGAGAGGAATGCATAAGGTATACATGTTTAGTATTGGAAGATACTGTTATTTTATTGTTATCTCTATGGTTTATATAGCAAAATCCCAAACTTCAGTTGAGGAGACCTTTATAGTTTTTTGTTTGTTTTTGCCACTTTAACCATTTTTAAGTGTACAATTCAATGGCATTAATAACAGTTGCCATGTTGTCCAATCTTCACTGCTATCCATTTCCACATGTTTTTTGTCATCATAAACAGAAACTCAGTACCCCTTAAGCAACAACTCCCCATTTGCCCCTCCCTTAAGCCATCTCCTCACTAATAAATCTTTGTCTCTATGGATTTGACTATTTAAAATTTATGTAATTGGTATGATACAGTATTTGTCCTTTTGTGGCTAACTTATTTCACTCAACATAATGTTTTTAAGGTTCATCTATGTTGTAGCATGTATCAGGACCTCATTTCTTTTATGGCTGAATGATACTCCACCCTATGCCTATACCACATGTGCTTATTCATTCATCTGTTGATGGATACTTGAGTTGCTTCCACCTCTGGGCTATTGTGAATAATGCTGCAATTAACATAAGTATATGAGTATCTGTTTGAGACCATGCTTTCAATTCTTTTGGGTATATACCAAAGAGTGAAACTGCTGACTCACATGATAATTCTATGTTTAAATTTTTGAGGAACCACCAAAATGTTTTCTACAGTGACTATACCATTTTACATTCCCACCAGCAATGAATCAGAGTTCCAATTTCTCCACATCTTTGACAACACTTGATATTTTTTGTTTTTCTGATAATAGTCATCTTAGTAGCTATAAGTGGTATCTCATTTTTAAAAAATTCATTGTGGTTTAGGTGAAATTTATAGAGCAAATTAGTTTTCGTCATTGTGGTTTCGATTTTTATTTGGATCATTTGTCTTTTTGTTACTAAGTTGTAGGAGTGAAGAAGACACTTTAATATTGAGCTTATGAAGACTTTATGAAAATCGAGCTTAGGCCAGGATTCTGTCTCTAATGATGTGGATGACAGCTTTTCCTATGGCTCTGTAGATCTATCAGCATCTCCCTCTGCTAAGTTATGGTAGGACCCCCAGGACTTCTAGGAGCAAGTCCAGCTTGCAAAATAGAGCCAGGAGAGGTGGGAAAAGCCAGTCGAGGGGACCAGGAGTCTGGAGTAAATCCCAGGAGTTGGGGCAGAAGATCTTGCTTGGTGGGGCTCTTTGGTTCCCTGAACCCATCAGGGGATGTTACTGCTGCAGCTGCAGTAGCTTGGCAGTGTGGAGAGAGTGCCTTGAATAGATTACCACACTAAGGGAGGCATGGTACCAGGTAGCAACTTGCAACAGCCACATAATTACTGAGCACTTGCTCTGTGTCAGACTACATCAAGTACCTTTTGAATATCATTTCATTTTTGACATTCCAACAATCCTGGGACGAAAGGTCTTATTATTCCCATTTTACAGGTAAGGAAACCAAGGCCCAGAGGAATGAAGTCACTTTCCTAAGACTGCAGTGGCCTAGAACTCAGGTCAGTGTGTGGTCCAGATCTCACCTAGAATGTGAGAGAAACTAGCAAGAGGAAAGGTAGTTGGACTGCCTACCCACCAGCCACTCTTCGGAAGGAAGGTTGGGCAATCCTACTTCCGTAGTGATACTGCCTCAGAAACCCAAAGAGGGGTCGCTATGAGTCGGGGCCGACTCGATGGCAAACAACAACAACCTCTCCTCTCCACCAAACCCTCATCTGCTCCCTACCTGGACAGTAGCAGAGGAGATCAGTACTAGCCATGGAGAGTTGGGTGAAATACTAACAAAAAGGAATTACAACACAATAATAGAAACAAAGCAACTAATAGCAAGTACATTTTTACAACGTGCTTGGTCTGGGCAGAATACTTCATAAGAGTGAGTTTATCCAGCCATTACAACAACGTATAAAGTGAGGACTTTGTAAGGTCGACTCTCTGTCGATGAGGCCACTGAAAATCAGACGGGTAAAGTGACAAAACCAGCAAACAGTAGAACTTGGGTTTGAACCCAGGTTTTTCTGATTTTAAAGCCTGGGTTCTTACTTCCTAGGAGACACTGTGTGTGTGTGTCCCCCAAATATGTGAATAAAACTGATGAGCCAGCTATCTGTGTCCAGTGGTACCCAATGCTTTGGGCATCCTAAGCAACCCTCCTGAGCAACACCTGAGCCTGGGCAGCAGCTGTGTCCTCTCCACTCTGCATGCTCCCAACTGAAGTTCTGATCTTGCCACTGTTGGGGCTATTTGGTCCCAGGTACCAACACCCAGGTTCTGCCAGGGACCCTCAACACAGATGTGTTCCACAGATGTCCCATGTGATCAGGACCCTGGGCAGGTTGGTGTGAAAAGAGTGTGAGCAGGGACAGCTGAGTCTGCCAAGCTGCAAACTCAACTTTGCCCTTTGGCTTCATAGTCAAGGCCAACTCTGGCAGTCATATTTAGTCTATTAGTGGATTTTCTCCCATTTGAAGTAGCTACAATACCTGCAAGATCTTCCTTGGAAGAGACTAGTCTCGGAGAGCTGCTTCCTGGTTCAATTCTGAGTGACAGTCTGAAAACAAAGATTTTCACAAGGTCAGATGTGCTCTGGTGTATCAGAGGGGGAAATAAACATGTATCTACTTGGGGTTGGGAGGACGGATTGTTATTAAGAGCTATTATAATCATAGAACCCAGGAATCCTGCGAGATCTGCTCCAGACCACAGCCACTTCCCTTTGAGACCCCCATTCTCATGTCTGAGAAACAATGGTTAAGGAAGACCAAGTGAAAAAGAGCAATCTGGGTTGATTGTTTACTGAGTGAAGATGTGTTAATTCTCACAACAACCCTCTGAACTGGGTACATTTATTGTCCACATTTTATAGATGATGAAACTGTGCAGCAGTGAGGTTAAATAGCTTTCCTAAATTCACAGGATTAGCAAGTGGCAGTTTAGGGGCTAAAATCCAGGACTGTCTCACTCAAACCAGAGCTTTTATGCACTACATTGCACCCTCTCTCATTAGATGCCCATAGAGAGGTACCAGGCAATGGACAGGTTATGAGGACCGGCACCTCACTATTATTTTGTTTTTTAAGCATTGAGTAAGAACTTCTGAGTAAAATTGACCATGTAAAGCCAGTTCCAGATTCTCTCTCTCCCAGTAAAACCAACAAACAATTATAAAGACTTTTAAGTAAAATAACTTACCAGCTGCAATTAAGCAAGTTAAGGGGTATAATCTAAAACCATAAACTTCAAAAACTTGCAGCCAAGGAAAGAAAAAGAGGATTTGAAGTTGGAACAAGACTTGCAACATAGCATGGCTTCCCTCCAGCCTTCTGAGACTTCCCAGTAGCTCTTAGTGGGAGTCTTTATCTTCCTCTCTTCTGAGTAGCAGCAGATGAGGAAGAGAAATGGGCAGAGAACATGGTGCTACTCAGATGGAAATGAAGGTCTCTATGGGGGTAGGATTTTAAACCTGAGGATATCCTCTTTCTGGAACGGTTTACAGCCCCCCAACTAGGTGGAGGAACTCCTTATACACACCTTTTAAAAGAGTCCACATATCTAAAATGACTGCATGCCCCCTGCTTTGATGGAGCTGAGCCCTTTCTTTCCTTCATTCCCTTAGTCTTTAGAAGAGGGAAGCGACTAAGAACCTACTGGTATCACAGTACAGCAGAAGAAGAAAACCAGCCCACCCATATATGGGAGGAGGGCCAGATATCTTTCTCCCTGTATCAGAGCCATGCAATACCCAGAAGGAACCTCTGAAACAAGAGCAAGAGAAAAAGAAACAATTTGGCAACCAAGAAAACATCTCACAACAAAGAGAAAGAGAAAGGAATAGAGTACTCACCAAACAGCTCAAGCCCAAAGGCAGTCCCAAGGAATAAAAGAAAATCTTCCCAAGTGCTTCAGTCCATAGAACCACTTATTAAGAATGTGGATTGACTAAAACAAATCTTGAGAAATGAGATGATAAAGGAATAAGTCAAAAAGGGAGTTTGAAGACCTAAAAGAACAAATCAAGGTCTGAAATAACAGAGGACTGGGTGAATATTTAAGGAGAAATAGACCCTCAGAGTGACTATCGATGAAAAAGATGGAGATTTTAGCCATTAGAAAGAAGATGACAGATATGGAAGGCAGACAGCATGCAACATATGGATTCCTGGAATCCCTCAAAGAAATGGCACACATGTAAGCCAGAAGAACTCATTGTTCCAGGAAAAGTTGGTATAGAATCTTTCACTCTGGGCTATTCCCTTATTACTAAGCTTTTGAACTTCAAGGAATTCTTCACCCAAACCAAGCTTACAAAACAAGTCACTTACAAGAGGAAAAAAATCAGACTGACTTCAGACTTCTCTATAGCAACATCCAATTCCAGAAGGCAATGGAGCAAGTTCGAAGGGAAAGAAGCAAAGGAGTATGACTCAACAGTGCTAGACCCAGGCAGACTCAGATACTTTCATGAGAAATCAGGGAACACAGGACCTATGAGCTTTTTTTTTGGAGAAGAAACTTACTTCATGATGAAATTCAGCTAAATAAGACTCTAGGACCAAGTAAAACAACAGGTGGTCAGAATGGAATCTGTTTAAAATTACTTAATAGTAGGAATTACGATTTCTGAACATGAAGTTTATGTTATAAACTTGGACTATGTGGTAATAATAATATAACTAACAAAAAACTGGGAGGTGGTAGAGGGAAGGTGAAGCAAGGGGAAGAGTGCTAATGGTCTCTTTCATAACCAAGAGTCAACTGACACTGTTCACAATGGAAATCTAGTTAAAATAAAACTCTTATTGACTCAAACCTCTTATGTTTTTCCTGAATGCTTTTATTAAGCTTAACAGGATCTTTTAGAAAATAATACCACTTGTGGTGGAGAAACATTTATTTTTATTATATTTCCTGAAGTGTCATTTTAGATCCTTTATTTAAAACAAACAAAACCCACTGCCATCAAGTTGATTCTGACTCATAGCGACCCCCATTGGGTTTCTGAGATGGTAGATCTTTATGAAGTAGATTGTCCCGTCTTCCTTCCACGGAGTGTCTGGTGGGTTTGAACTGCCAACCTTCTGGTTAACAGTCAAATGCCTTAGGCACTGAGCCACCAGAGCACCTTAGCTCCTTTATCTAGTTTTATTAAAATAAAACTACAGTTTATACTTTTAATTAAAAATAGCAACTACAGTATAATCCAAATTTAATAAATTCTACCCTTGTATCTAGCCATTGATGCATCCTTCTCTATGTGTATATGTAAAGAAAAATGTCTGAAATTAGGTTCCCTCAATGCTGATGGTCATTCTTTTTACATGGTGGGAATTTGGGTAATGTTTCTTAAATTAAAAAAATAGAAAAAAGGCCAAGAAAAACAAAGCAATGGTTGGGCCCTTGGCACAACATCTACAAAGCAGATGGAGACAGGATGTTAGAAACACAATGTATTAAATGTAGTAACTAAAGCGCTGCATCCTCTGGGGATGGGAAAACAGTCTCCAGGGTACGAGTTGGGCTGTGCAGGGTGGGCTCCGCAAGTCAAATCACAAGGCCCACTCATCTCTTGCCACTCAGAGCCAGAACCTCACTGGGAAGGGACCCCCCTGCATGGGTGTGCAGATCTGGAGTGAGAATGCATGCTTCCTCTCTGTGTTTGTCCACTGTGACCACAACAAAGGGCTTTTATAAAATCCAGGCGGACACTGTTAGTTAGCATCAAGTACTAGAGGTGTTAAAAGTCCTTTACGATAGGAGTAATTACTCATGATCTGCAACTTGTCCAAGGATTATCTCATGGTCAGAAGTATTTATACACCATTTTTTTCCTTAAAGGATATTAGTGTTAATGAAAAACTACTGTTTCTTTAATCTCAATACTGGCACATGAATCAAAAATATTATCCCAGAACCTAAGTGGGAACAATTTTTTACTCCAGGGTACTCTTTTCAGGAACAGTAAATGCCTTGTATATAAAATGAGCTTAATCTGTGGCAGACATAATTTTAATTGTAATCTCTGGCCTTCATCTATTGTTTTTACTATTATGTGATATATCACAATTTCATATTATATTCTACTGCAACAAATTAGTATACATTAATAACCAAAGACATGTCTATATTCTCAAACATGGCTGATCATCAGAACCATCTGGGGAGCTCTGAAAAAAATACAAATTTCCAGGCCCCACTCCTATACTGGAGCTCTAGTAGTGTAATAGTTAACACTTCCATCTGCTAATCAAAAGGTTGGCAGTTCAAACCCATCAGCCACTCCATGGGAGAAAGATGAGACAGTCTGCTTCCACAAAGATTTACAGCTTTAGAAATCCTGTGGAGCAGTTCTACTCTGTCCTATAGGGTCATTATGAGTCAGAATCAACTTGACGGCTGTGCATTTGGTTTTGGTTTTACCCGTACATTAGAAAAATTCCCAGGTGATTCTAATTCACAGTCAGGACTAAGAGCCACTGCCGTAGAGCTGGCCAGATGTGTAGTTGTTAGAACAGATTATTTCCAAGGTCCTGGAGAGTGGATCACTGGTAACCTGGTGTGGTGCAGTGAATTGCTTGGTATGGTCCTTCTAGGCATGGTCTTTGTGACTCCCACCAGATGACTGGGTGGGACTATGAAAATGTGAGGGGCTTGTGGCCCATCAAGGGGATTGGACAGTTTGCTGATAATGTAAATATGGTACATGGCTTCCTTGTGGCAGTGGGACCACACAAATAAGGTATACAGAAACTTACAAAGTGATTGGTCAATTTTGTCATCCTCTAGGCTTAAAAGAAAGCCAATTCCAGAACAAAGTGCAGGGGCAGGGGAACCCCATGACCACCAAGAAAGAAGAACTAGGAGTGGAGTGTGTCCTTTGCAACTAGGGTTTCCTGTGCTGGGAATCTCCTTAATCCAGGAGACAGAAAGAGAGATCTGTAACACCTTGCTGAAATGGTGAGAAGCAGTGACAAAGAAATGGCAGCAGCAGAACCATGAGACCCAGCAGGAGACCCGGAAGGAGACAGTGTGGTGGGCTTCCAGACCCACAGAGTGAGAAAGCTGAGCACCTTTGGGCAGGAGGCTTGCTGGCAGAGTAGGGTACCTCCAGAGAATTGCCAACCCACACAGACAGAGCTGAGCACCTTCGGGTGAGGTTTACTGACAGAGTGGGGTACCTCTAGGCACTTATATCGGGCAGAGCTAAAACAGCTTAGCTTCATAACACTTGCCTGAGTAGGGCAGAGGCCAAGGATCCACAGGGCCGAGAGGCCAAGGGCCAGAGAAAGACATGCCTATGGGCACTGCTGAGAAGCAGCTGTCCTGATCAAAGAACTATATGCTGAGCATTCCGGATCCTGAATTGTAACCTGTTACTTCCCATAAAGTCCATAAACATGAGTATGGTCTGTGAGTTTTGTGTGGCCACTGCAATGAATTACTGAACCCAGCAGAGAAGTAGAGAGTGCCATAGAGGAATGGCTGGTGTCAGAATTGGTAAGAAGTTTTGGGGGTGGAAGGCATGTCTGACCTTCCCCTTATAGGAATCAGCCTTGGGTTGTTAATGTAGATCTTGATCTGCCTTCCTCCTTGTGAAGTTAGAGGAAGTCAGACATCTCTATCACGTCCTTTTTACGACTGGATAGGTCTCTAATGGTGACAGCTCTCTACAGTTCTCAGTGACTTGGATGAAGACAAAGTAATCAAGCTGATTGAATTAGTAGGCACAAAACTGGAAGAGATAAAAAATATTTGGGATGATGGGATTCAAAAGCGTGATGGTACCACAAGTCTCTAACTGACCAGTAAGTCTGGTGGTTTTTTTGTTTTTTTTTTAATGATTTTGAATTTTGAAAACCCTCTCCCCCCCAAGGCTATGGCCCTTAATCACCACTCTTCAAGCCTGGAACTGAACTGATGCTTGTGGCTTAACTTTCAGGCAGACAATACCAGGGGAGATACACATTCCTTAGAAAAATCAATTACACAAGATTAAAAGGACAGCATTTGCCCAGACAGAAGCTCAGAAGGTAGGAAGGCATAGGAAAGAAGGAAGAATGGAAACGAGAGACACAGACAGGAAGTGGGAAGAGTGGGGATTGCAATCAATGTCATGAAACAAATTGTGCATGAACAGCTGAATGGAAAATGAATTTGTTCTGTAAACTTTCACCCCAACCACAATAAAAAGTTAAAAAACAACAAAAAACTGAAGGCAACATTTTGTATCATTTGCAAAGTCAAATTTCTTTTGGTTAAAAAAAAAACAAAAACAGAAAAAGAATCATGGTATGCTGGAAGCAACCAATGAGATGAGACTTTTAAAAATACATGTAAAGTTGGCATTTTGGTGATAAATGATTGACTGTAAGATGTCAGACCTGTCTCAATATCAGATCATATGAAAATTACCAACTCACAATTGACCTCAAGCTTAAAATAAGTCAAAAGGATGCTGTCTACTGTGGCAGACGAGTTAATATGAAAAATATGCTCCAAATATATGGAATTGCTGGGTAAGTACCCAGGCGCCACAAATGGAGACAGATCTGAAAGCCCAAGCACACTGAGTGGAAGCTGTGGCCCGAGGGCTCACAGGTGTCTTTATGGAAACTGGATCTCTGCCACAAGGGGCTGTGTGGGGATAGGGATGAGACCTTAGGCGTGTCTGACAGTGTGAGACCTACGGAAAGCCGGCAGTCACAGAAAGCTGACCCAAACAAAACAGGCGCTCAGAGAACTCTGATGACTGGCCTAAAGATGTGGCTAGAAAGCGTGAGCACTGTGGGTGAGGAGCTACTCGTGACAGCCCGCAAAGGGCAAGTGTGCACCATACACATCCGTAGAATTCAAATTTATAACCTGCACACAATATGGGAAAGTCAAGCTGGTAAGTTAACAGGAAACCTTCAGAACCATGGACACCAGGGGTTTAGGACAGAGGCAAATGGGAAGAAAAGCTCAGAGAGCACCACTGTGGGGTCTGCGGCATCAAATGACACATTACATAATGTGTGTTTGTGTGTGTTGTAGGAAGGGTACTGCTGAGGTGACCTTCTTTCTGTAAGTCCCAACAAGGCTCAGGCTACCTGCAAATAGCAGAATGCTGAGGGCAACAGCTGAGAGGGGGTGGGCCTAACTGACATAAGGCATAGGCGGGGACTTACTTGTAGTTGTCGTCTTCCACAAACTTCTGAAGTTCTTCAATGTAGCGTACAGATTTTAGGTACTTCTGCACATGGGGCAGGGTTGTGAGGTGATCTGTAAAAGATGGACAAAACCCAGAGGGGCTCAGTCTCTCCCTTCTCTGGGTCCCAAAAGAGAAGTGTAGCAATCATTGATGTTAGCATGAGATGCTTTTTAGATACTGAGACATTCATTCACTCTTCAGTCATAGATGTTCCATTGGGCCAAGCCATGTGCTGAGCGCTGGGCACATAGGGGTGATCAGGCCTACCTTCTGCCCTTGAGGAGTACCCCTCATACTGTTGGGCCACAGATACCATATGCTTGGCCAGGAAGGAGGAGCTGGGGCCTTTACTTGGGGCACAAAAGCAAGGAAAGGTGGCTCCCTGGCCTCCAGAAGAGACTGCCCAGGAGTGCATGGAGGGATGGACACAGGGAAGAGGAACTATTGGGAGGAAGCGGGAGGGGAGCTGTTGCATTGGGGGAAATTATAGTCAATGTCATGAGACAAAGTGTATGTGAACTGCTGTATAGAAAGTGAATTTGCTCTGTAAATTTTCACCCAAATCACAATTTAAAAAAAAAAAAAAAAAAAAAGAGAGAGAGACTGCCTATTCCCCTCTTCATTGCTGATATCTCCAGATTGGCCCTTGGCCAATCAGGCTCATTAATGGAGGACTTGGGCACCTGGCTCACAGTCAAGGTTCACACCCTGAAATCCACCATCATCTTGGGTGAAATCAACATCCACATGAACAGCCCATTAGCATTCTCACTTAGCTCCCTGACCTCATCTCCAACAACCTTCTCCATTCATCTCAGGCACCCATCTTCATGGTCATGCTTTGGATCTGGTCATGTGTAGCAAGACCTGGCTAGTTGTTCATCAAACTATTTCTCTTTTCCTTTTAGGCACATGGCTAGATTGTATTTCCTACAATCTAGGAAGAAGTGATGTGTGCCACTTGCAAATCTGTTTCACTGAACCCACCCTTATATTATTCTCTTGCTTCCTGCCTTTGCCACTTGGATGCAAACAGTCCAGTAGAGGACTCTGAGGTCATGGAAGACAGTGGAGCCATAATATGGAAAGGGCTCAGTCCCTGAATCTACTTGAAGGAAAGCTTCCCTGGAGAGTAGCCCAAAAAGAACTCCTGCTTGGACTACTGTGAGCAAAAATAAGCTATTGTGTTCATGAGAAATAAGCTCATATTATACTAAGCCACTGAACATTTTGTCACTGCTTGCTATGGCAATTAGTCTACCCTAATACAATTGGTAACCACATTATCTCTACAATTACTAGTAAATGAGTCTACCCTCTTACCACAGTCTCTTCTTCCTCCACTATTCCCAAGTACTGTTCTCAGACCCCATGGGATCTGCAGTCCACTGTCATCTCTATTGTCTCCTCATTTGTCACACACTCCTTTCAATTCATGCCTTCAATTCAATATGCCACTTAGTCCATGGCCCTTCATTTCAGCAACACTCTTGCCAATACTCTGAACTCCCTTTCTCCTCTCTCTCTCTATCTTGTCCATTTGGAAAACTATTTTATTGAATGAACCAACTGTCCTCTCTCTCCATGACTACACCTGAGCAACTGGGACCTACTGGAGAAAGCTATAGTGAAACACAGTGGTTCCATATCTAATCCCAAGACAGCCCTCACCATGGCCTGGCAAATTCACTGTTTTTCCCTGGGAAATGCTCTTCCCATTCTCCAAAACAACCATTTCAAATAGTCTCCACTGCTATTAAGCCTCCCACCTCTATTTCCCTTTTCACTCCAGCAGATTTGTTTGCTTCCTACTTTTAGAGAAAATAGAAGCCATCGGATGGACATGCTCTTATCTTCCAGACTATGAGGACCCACCCCCATCTGAATCCCCTCTCTCTTGCTAACACTCTCAATGGCCAGTCTCCCTATCTCTACTCTGGATCCCTTCTCTCTTGCCTTCCCCAGGACCTTACATAACTGATTATCCTTTGATCTCTCTTTTATATTCTTCCCATTAACTTATAAAATGTCATGTTGCTTCATCAAAATCAACAACAACCACACCTCTTTTCTTGATTTCATACTTTCTCTTTCTCTATTTTTCTCTCCACTCAGTTCTCTTAGTATCCCTTACTTGCTGTAAAGGTCACCATTATATCTCTCTTTTTTTTCCTTTTAAATTATGATTTGAGTGGAACTTTACAGAGCAAATTCATTTTCCATACAGCAGTTCTACACATTTTGTTTCATGATATTGATCGAAATCCCCATAATATAACAGCTCTCTTTCCACTTCCTCCCTGTGGTTACCTTTTCCTATGCATTCCCTCTGAACCATCTCCTTATGCAAATACTCCCTTCTGATATCCCATTGTTGATTGTTCTAAGGAGTGTGCCTACTTGGTGTAAATGTTCACCTTATACATCTGTCTGTTGTTTGTCTGGAAGCCACAGGAGTAAGTTCAATTCCAGGCCCCAAGGGTGATTAGGGTCTCGGGTTTCATCAGACCAGTAAGCCTAGTCTTTTTTTTTTTTTTTTTTAATGAGTTTTAGTTTTGTTTCACATTTTTCTCCCACTCTTCAGGATTTCCTACACTGATCACCCTTTCTGAATGGTTGACAGTTATAGCCAAGCAACATCTAGCTCTTCTGGTCTCAGGGTTATGTCGGCTGAGTTTCACATGATCCACTGGTCCTTGGACTATGCATCTTTGGTCTTCTTCATTCTTCGCTCTGGATGAGCATCTAGAGGGCCACTTGCAAGCTTTTAAGACTTGAGTCACTATTCGCCAAAGTAGGATGTAGAACAATGTTTCTGTGCAGTGTGTCAATGGAGCTTGATGTCCCCATGAAAAGTTGCCATTACCTCTTACTTGTAGAGATCAAATTCTACCTGGTCTCCCTGCTTCCACCCTAGACTCCCCCTCTAATCCGTTCTTTATCCTGCAGGAAAGATCATCTTGTCAGAATGCAGGTTTGATCATTTCACACAAACATTTAAGACAAGTTAATGGTTTCTCATTGCTCTTAGAATAAAAACTCAGATCCTATCTTTGCCAAAAAGACCCTACACAGTCCTTGCCTCCTTCTCCAGTTTCATGTGATACTATACTCATCCTCGCTATCTCTGTTTCAGCTCACCAGTCTTCTTTCAATCCCTGTTATACGCTGTTCTCCATCCCACCTCAGGGCCTCTGCATGGGATATTTATTCTCTTTGTGAGGACCCTCTCCTCCCCTCTCTTCTTTAGTGAACCCTTCCTTGACTCCTTGTCTTGGTCTAGTCCTCCTTTTATGCCATTTTAACACACAGTCATCTGCATATTGCAGGTTGCTAACGAGTCTTCCTCCAATTCTGATGCCATGTTCTTCTTCATATAGTCCAGGCCCTAGGATTATTTCATCAGCAAATAGATTGAAGAAGTATGGTGAAAATATACAACCCTGATGCACAGCTATCTTAGAAGAAGTACAGCCAGAATGCTCCTTAGAATGGAGCATGGTGAGGCTTCGTCCTATGTACTGTGGACATGTTATCAGGAGGAATGAATCCCTGGAGAAGGACGTCATGCTCAGTAAAGCAGAGGGTAAGAGATAAAAAGAGCAAGACCTTCAAGGAGATGGACTGACATAGTGGCTGCAACAATGTGCTCAGATTATGCATCTTTGGACTGTGAGCATGGCACATGACTGGGCAGCGTTTCATTCTGTTGTACAGAGGGTCACTATGAGTTGGAACCAAATCGATGGCACCTAATAATGACAACACTACCACCACAAAATACTTCTCATTTGTAGTCATGTATCACAACTGGAATTTTACATTTGCTTTTATTATTATTTTACATTTATTTGTTATTATTTGATTAATGTCTGTCTACCTAAACCATTAAGGGGCAGTGGTGGTATCTGTTTTTTCTCCTTATCATATCTCTAACTTTTATTATAGGACCCATATTTTAGTTCTCGGGGCCGACTCGACGGCAAATAATAACAACAACAACAACAGTGCTGCTATAACAGAAATACCACCAATGGATGGCTATAATAAACAGAAGTTTATTTTCTCACAGTGTAGGAGGCTAGAAGTCCAAATTCAGGGTGTTAGCTCTGAGGAATGGCTTTCTCTCTGTCAGCTCTGAAGGAAGGTCTCTTTCAGCTTCTGCTCCTGGGTATGCTTCATGTGGCTTGGCATCTCTCTTCCCTCATCTCTGCTTCTCTCACTTGCTTGTTTAATCTCTTTTATATCTCAAAAGAGATTGACTCATTCCACACTAATCCTGCATCATGAACATAACAGACAACCTGTTCCCAAATGGGGTTATAACCACAGGTACTAAACTCCAAAAACCAAACTCACTGCCGTGGAGTTGGATCTGACTCATAGCAACCCCTCCTTGGGTTTCCAAGGCAGTATCACTAGAGAAGTAGATTGCCCAATCTTCCTTCTGAGGAGTTGCTGGTGGATTTGAACCGCCAGCCTTCTGGATAGCAGTCAAATGCCTTAGGCACTATGCTGCCAGAGCTACAGAGGCTAGGAATTACAATACATATTTTTTGAGGGACACAGTATAATCTGTAACAACCAGGCACAGAGTAAGTTCTCAAACATAGCTGCTGAATGAATGAATAAATGACTTGATAGCTAAAGAGACCTGGGCTCTGCTACTCACTGTATGAAATTAGATATGTGACGGAACTGTTTTCAGCCTCAATTTTCTTACATTGGATGCGGAAATAATGTCTGGTTTGCATAATCTTTGTGAAGATTAAATCTTTGTGGAAAAGATCTAGCACATAGTTGATGCTCAAGAACTAACAAAGAACTAGCTGGTTTCTACATCTTTCTCATTGACAGGTGCTAGAACTCCAATTTCAACAATATAAGATTTGAGGATTCCAACACATAGGGTACTAACCGTAGCTGCAGGAAACTTGTAAATCAGCAATTATTCGGAGAATATTGTTCATCTGATTGGATCTTTGTTCATTTTCCATGATGCTGCCTGAGGCAGGATATGCGGAATCAATGTAGATTAAATCCAGAAGATAGATCCCTGAAATTAGAAAAGATATTTAATGATGGTTGGAGATCACCATTTATCAGAACAAAAGCGGACAAAGCAGCACTACTCTGCTGAAAGATACAAAGGGCGACTTACTTAACAGAAAACCGAGATAGGATTTGGACTTCAATTCTAATCCTGACTACTCATTTTTCACATAGACTGCTCAATTGTAGATCAAACATCTAAGCAACAAGTAACATGAAGCCTGGCAAGATTTTAGTATTTCTAGTTCTTACATTCTCACATTCTCCCACCTATAAGGGTTTTTACTTATAATCCAACAGAGAATGACAGGACAGGAAAGGGATGAATGCTTGTGTTTTTCACCAAGTGATAAAGATAGGTCTAAGGTGTCATATCCAGGAGACCATTCATTTGGACTGGATTCATTTTCTAATTTATTCACTTAGCTGTCTATCCATCTGTCTATTTGTCTCATCTATCAGGGTAAACACACACACACACACACACACACACACACCTCAACCAAAAATCATAAATTAACTGAGAGACAAAAGAAGAAATTAAAAGAGCAATAGTCTTGGGTCCAACACTTATTGGCTGTGTGGCTTTGAGCACGAGAGTTAATCTACTTAAGCCTCAGTTTCTGCAATTGTAAAATTGGGCTAATAATGGAAACTACTTCATTGTCAAGTAGATTAAATAAAACAGGGCTTACAAACTACTTAGTGCGGTACCTAGTACATGGTAGTTATGGGAAAAATAAAAAGTAGATGCTACTGCTACTAGCTGACTAATGTTCATGGAAGTCTTATTATGTACCTGGTACTTTTCTAGCACTATTACACTATGACCACTGCTACTACTATTACATGACCACCATCCCCCAACAACTACTGTACCACAAGACATGGAGCTAAAAGTAATCACCACACACTTGCTATGAATGGAAACAAAATTAGTTTTAGCCTTTCTAGCAGTCAGTAGGGAAAGGAAAACCTAATTAGTTCAACATCATGTTTGTGAAATAAAAATCGATCGATTATTTGAGACAGATGGTACAAAGTTTTAGAACTAAGACTAGATAGAGAATTCTCTTGAGGATTCCTAATAAGAAAGTAATACATGATGTAAAAACATTGCTATAACAACAAAAAATCTGATTTCCAGGTATTTTTATCAAAACCTGGGAAGTGAAACTTAATAATGGGACACGGAACCTCCAACTCTTGTCTTATGTTATGGGGAGGGAATTGCATGGTGTACATACTGTTTACTTTTTGATGCTGATAGAGATATGCAGATGTAAAGATTTTTTAAAATTTAAGAGACACCAATAATAGAAAAGAAACTAGATGGCAAACTCTCAAATTACTATAGGATCAAATAGGAATAAACAATCCAACAAAAGGTCAGAAAATAGAAAAAGGAAACACAGACAGCATAACAAAGAGGAACTGTATGTCTATACCATGGAATACTAACCAAAACCAACAACTAAACTCATTGCCATCGAGTTGATTCCAACTCAAAGAATCAGAGTAGAACTGCCCCAAAGGGTTTCCAAAGTTGTAATCTTTATGGAAGCAGATTGTTACTTTTTTTTTTTTTTTTCCCTGCAGAGCAGCTGGTAGGCTAGAAACTCCCATCATCTGGTTACAGCTGAGCATGTAACCACTCTGCCCCCAGGGATCCTTCATGGAATACTATTCAGCAATGAAAAGGAACAAACTATCCATACACACAAGAATGTGGATTAATCTTAAAGGCATTGTGCTGACTGAAAGAAGCTAATCTCAAAAGGAGACTGCATTTACATGATGTTTCTCTAAAGGGAAAAATCATAGAAATGGAGAGCAAATAAGTGATTGCCAGAGGTTAGGGATAGTGGAAGTGGGTGCAGTGACTATAAAAAGGTAGTACAAAGGAGATTTGACCTCAAAGTAGAATTGACCTTAATGATATGGATGGAGTAAGGCTTCAATGCTGATGGGGCACAACTCAAAATGAGAAGAAACAGCTACAACCATTAATAACTAGAATGTGGGATACACAAAGTATGACTCTAGGAAAATAGAGAGTCGTCAAAAATGAAATGAAATGCATAAAGATCTCTACCCTAGGCATTTGTGAGATGAAATGGACTATTATTGGCCATTTTGAATCAGATAAGCCTATGGTCTACTATGCCTGGAATAACAAAATGAAAAGAAATGGCATTTCATTTATTATCAAAAAGAACATTTCAAGATCTGTCATGAAGTAAAATGCTGTCAGTGATAGGATACTATCCACACACCTACAAGGAAGATCAGTTAATAAGACTATTTTATTCAAATTTATACAGCAACTACTAATGCCAAAGATGAAAAAATTAAAGATTTTTTACCAACTTCTGTAATTTGAAATTGATCAAACATGCAATTAAGATGCAATAATAATCACTGGTGATTGGAATGTGAAAGTTGGAAACAAAGAAGAAGGATTGGTAGTTGGAAAATATGGCCTTGGTGATAGAAAGGATGCCGGAGATCACATGATAGGACTCTGTAAGACAAACAACTTATTCTTTGCAAATACCTTTTTCAACAACACAAATATTGAGTACACACATGGACCTCACTGCATGGAATACACAGGAATCAAATCAACTACATCTATAGAAAGAGACAACAGAGAAGCTCAATATCATTGGTCAGGACAAGGCTGGGGCTGACTATGGAACAGACCACACTATGGAACGTGTACGCAAGTTCAAATTGAAGCTGAAGAAAACAAGTCCATGACAGCCAAAATAGGAGCTTAAGTATATCTCACTTGAATTTAGAAACCATTTCAAAAACAGATTTGATGCACTGAACACGAATGCCCAAAGACCAGACGAGCTGTGGGATGACATTAAGGACATCATACATGAAGAAAACAAAAGGTCATTAGACAGGAAAGAAAGAAAAGACCAAAATGGATGCCACAAGAGACAAGAAAACTTGCTCTTGAACACAGAATAGCTAAAGCAAGTGGAAGAAATAATCAAGTGATCAAGTAAAAGAACTGAACAGGAGGTTTCAAAGAGAAGCTCAAGAGGACAAAGTGAAGTATTATAATGAAATGTGCAAAGAGCTGGAGTTAGAAAACCAAAAGGGAAGAATACACTTAGCATTACTCAAGCTACAAGAATTGAAGAAAAAATTCAAGCCTCAAGTTGCAATATTGAAGGATTCTATGGGCAAAAGGTTGAACAACACAGGAAGCATAAAAAGAAGATGGAAGAAATACAGAGTCAATGGACCAAAAAGAACTGGGCGACATTCAAGCATCTGAGAAGGCAGAGTATGATCAAGAACTGACGGCACTGAAGGAAGAAGTCCACACTGCACTGAAGGCACCGGCTGAAAACAAGGCTCTTGGAACGGACAGATACCAGCTGAGACGTTTCAACCAATGGCTGCAACACCACAAGCACTCACGTATCTATGCCAAGAATTTGGAAGACAGGTACCTAGCCAACTGACAAGAAAAGGTTCATGTTTGTGCCCATTCAAAAAAAAAAAAGTGATCCAAAGAACACAGAAATTATCAAACAATATCATTAATATCACATGTAAGTAAAACTGTGCTGAAGATAATTGAAAAACAGTTGTAGCACACCAACAGGAAAGTGCCAGAAATTCAAGCTGATTCAGAAGAAGACATGGAACGAGGGATATCACTGCTGATGTGAGATGGATCTTGGCTGAAAGCAGAGAATACCAGAAAATGTTTATCCATGTTTTATTGACTATGCAAAAGCATGCAACTGTGTGGATCATAACAAATTACCGATAATATTGTGAAGAATGGGAATTACAGAACACTGACTTGTGCTCATGTGGAACATGTACATAGCCCAAGAGGCAGCTGTTTGAAAAGATCAAGGGGATACTGTGTGGTTTAAGATCAGGAAAGATGTGTGTCAGGGTAGTGTCCTTTCATTATACTTAATCTGTCCACTTAGCAAATAATCTAAGAAGCTGGACCTCATGCAGAATAATGTGGCATCAGGACTGGAGAACAACTCATTAACAACGTGTGATATGCAGATGACATAACCTTGCTTGCTGAAAGTGAAGAAGACTTGAAGCACTTACTAATGAAGATAAAAGCCTTCCATATGGATTACGCCTAACATAAAGAGAACAAAAATCCTCATACACACTATGGAAAAAGACCAGGTTTGCTGGTCTGATAGAGCCTGGTGAAACCCTTGAGACTACGGCCCCTGGCTGCCCTTCAGGTCTGGAATTGAACTCATTCCTGTGGCTTCCAGTCAAATAAAAGACTGAACATTTACATCAGGTAGATACAGTCCTTGCAGAGATCAATCATGGGAGAACAGAAGGGCAGTGTATGCACAGGGAAACTGTTCAGGGGGAAGAAGTGCATAGGAAGGAAGGACACAGGGAAGAGGTGGCTATGGGGAAGAAGTGGGAAAAGAGCTGTTATACTGTGGGTCAATGTCATGAGACAAAATGTGTATGAACTGCTGCATGGAAAATGGATTTGCTCTGTAAACTTTCACCCAAATCACAATAACAATTTTTAAAAACAAGAAAAAAAAAAATCCTCACAACTGGATGAATGAGCAACATCCTGATAAATGGAGACAAAAGTGAAGTTGTCAAGGATTTCATTTTCCTTGGATTCACAGTCAACACCCACGAAAGCAGCAGTCAAAAAGTCAAAAGATGGACTCTATCAGGCAAATCTGTTGCAAAAGATCTTTTCAACATGTCAAAAAGCAAAGATGCCACTTTGAGGACTAAGTTGCACTCACCCCATGTACATAAAAAGATGGACAATGAATAAGGAAGATCAAAGAAGAATTGTTGCCTTTGAATTACAGCACTAGTGAAGAGTACCGAATATACCATGGACTGCCAGAAGAACAAACAAATCTGTCTTGGAAGAAAGAAGTACAGCCAGAGTCAGAATGCTCCTTAGAAAAGAGGATCATACGACTTTGTGCCATGACCTTTGAACACGTTATT